TATCTAGAATAATAAAAAGAGAGAGTAGTGAACGAGTTAAAGCCTGTTTATCTGGAATAATCTCTTAATACAGGACAGATCAGTGCACCGTGTATGTAGATTAACGTTAATTCTGCTTCTTCAAAGCTCATTTTTATGACATTCACTAGTTATTTATTCACAAAACAGGTTCAGTTAACGTTACTCCTCTAGTGGTGATAATTCAATCATGAATATCCGTCCGCGGCAAACTATAGTCTGAGAGCGGGGAGTCATCTCGACTCATACACACCAACTATCTGGCTACTACACTAACGTTAGCAAGCGACCACAAAGACATTAAGACACTGCTTTTTAATCAAATAACACCGGTGGTCATGAATTTAAAATGACAAAACAACAAGCATACTCTCCCCTTAAGTTACCTGCCACCTTTAAGTTTCCTCTAACATGTTTTAACACAACTTTACCGGTTGAGTTTACTCAAAAGTCGCTAAGTTAGCTAACGTTGCTAATTCGGTGTGTTTGCCAACGGGAGCGTTACGTTGCCAGACAACGTTAATTCGTTAAACCGTGAACTCCAATCTCTGAATTAAAATCTCTAAAAACGTAACGTCAGGTTGGGCTCGGTGACAGCAGGGGAGCAACAATGACCTGGTAGCTAGCTAACGTTAGCTGTAAGTTAGCGTTAAGTACGTGTCGTTAGCTAGAGTCTCGGCTCCCGTACCTCTCTCTCCCTCCTGGGTTCCCATGAAACAGCTGTCGACGAGGGACCGCTGGAGCTCCAAACCCCCACTGACTACCTGCAATAGTCCCGTATAATCCAGAACCGCTGGGGTCAGTTTGTTGGTGGTGTTGTGGGTTTCAAACAGAAGCAGATATCGACTCTCATTTAAAATTGAAGCCTTGTTTGATTGGACGATACGCTCGTTCGTTGTTTCCGGAAGTTGCCTTTGATGTGTGCGTGGCTCCCTCTGCTGGCCACTGTGAGTAACGCAGGCCACAACAGTGTGTACACTACAGTGTGTACACTACAGTGTGTACACTACAGTCAGTGTGTCCACAACAGTGTGTCTACAACAGTGTGTCCACAACAGTGTGTCCACTACAGTCAGTGTGTCCACTACAGTGTGTCCACTACAGTGTGTCCACAACAGTGTGTACACTACAGTGTGTCCACTACAGTCAGTGTGTCCACAACAGTGTGTCCACAACAGTGTGTACACTACAGTGTGTCCACAACAGTGTGTCCACAACAGTGTGTCCACTACAGTGTGTCTACAACAGTGTGTCCACAACAGTGTGTCCACTACAGTCAGTGTGTCCACTACAGTGTGTCCACTACAGTGTGTCCACTACAGTGTGTCCACTACAGTCAGTGTGTCCACAACAGTGTGTCCACAACAGTGTGTCCACTACAGTCAGTGTGTCCACTACAGTGTGTCCACAACAGTGTGTACACTACAGTGTGTCCACTACAGTCAGTGTGTCCACTACAGTGTGTACACTACAGTGTGTCCACAACAGTGTGTCCACAACAGTGTGTCCACAACAGTGTGTACACTACAGTGTGTCCACTACAGTCAGTGTGTCCACAACAGTGTGTACACTACAGTGTGTCCACTACAGTCAGTGTGTCCACAACAGTGTGTCCACAACAGTGTGTACACAACAGTGTGTACACTACAGTGTGTCCACTACAGTCAGTGTGTCCACAACAGTGTGTCCACAACAGTGTGTCCACAACAGTGTGTACACTACAGTGTGTCCACTACAGTCAGTGTGTCCACTACAGTGTGTCCACTACAGTGTGTACACTACAGTGTGTCCACAACAGTGTGTCCACTACAGTCAGTGTGTCCACAACAGTGTGTCCACTACAGTGTGTACACTACAGTGTGTCCACAACAGTGTGTCCACAACAGTGTGTACACAACAGTCAGTGTGTCCACTACAGTGTGTCCACTACAGTCAGTGTGTCCACTACAGTGTGTCCACAACAGTGTGTCCACAACAGTGTGTCCACAACAGTGTGTACACTACAGTGTGTCCACTACAGTCAGTGTGTCCACAACAGTGTGTACACTACAGTGTGTCCACTACAGTGTGTCCACTACAGTCAGTGTGTCCACAACAGTGTGTCTACAACAGTGTGTCCACTACAGTGTGTCCACTACAGTCAGTGTGTCCACTACAGTGTGTCCACTACAGTGTGTACACAACAGTGTGTCTTCTACAGTCAGTGTGTCCACAACAGTGTGTCTACAACAGTGTGTCCACTACAGTGTGTCCACTACAGTCAGTGTGTCCACAACAGTGTGTACACTACAGTGTGTCCACTACAGTCAGTGTGTCCACTACAGTGTGTACACTACAGTGTGTCCACTACAGTGTGTCCACTACAGTCAGTGTGTCCACTACAGTGTGTACACTACAGTGTGTCCACTACAGTCAGTGTGTCCACAACAGTGTGTACACTACAGTGTGTCCACTACAGTCAGTGTGTCCACTACAGTGTGTACACTACAGTGTGTACACTACAGTGTGTCCACAACAGTGTGTCCACAACAGTGTGTACACAACAGTCAGTGTGTCCACTACAGTGTGTCCACTACAGTCAGTGTGTCCACAACAGTGTGTCCACAACAGTGTGTCCACTACAGTGTGTCCACTACAGTCAGTGTGTCCACTACAGTGTGTACACTACAGTGTGTCCACTACAGTGTGTCCACAACAGTGTGTCCACAACAGTGTGTACACAACAGTCAGTGTGTCCACTACAGTCAGTGTGTCCACTACAGTGTGTCCACAACAGTGTGTCCACAACAGTGTGTACACAACAGTGTGTCCACTACAGTCAGTGTGTCCACAACAGTGTGTACACTACAGTGTGTACACTACAGTGTGTCCACTACAGTGTGTCCACAACAGTGTGTCCACTACAGTCAGTGTGTCCACAACAGTGTGTCCACAACAGTGTGTCCACTACAGTGTGTCCACTACAGTGTGTCCACTACAGTCAGTGTGTACACTACAGTGTGTACACTACAGTGTGTCCACTACAGTGTGTCCACAACAGTGTGTCCACTACAGTCAGTGTGTCCACAACAGTGTGTCCACAACAGTGTGTACACAACAGTGTGTACACTACAGTGTGTCCACTACAGTGTGTCCACTACAGTGTGTACACTACAGTGTGTCCACAACAGTCAGTGTGTCCACAACAGTGTGTACACTACAGTGTGTACACTACAGTGTGTCCACTACAGTGTGTCCACAACAGTGTGTCCACTACAGTCAGTGTGTCCACAACAGTGTGTCCACTACAGTCAGTGTGTCCACAACAGTGTGTCCACAACAGTGTGTCCACTACAGTGTGTCCACTACAGTGTGTACACTACAGTGTGTCCACAACAGTGTGTCCACAACAGTGTGTCCACTACAGTGTGTCCACTACAGTGTGTGTCTATGAGTGTAGGATAGCATTCATAGCAGAACTACTCTTATTACTCTAATATCTAACAATACTCGTATTCTGCCACTAATACTGCAGTCTTTTAAGGATGTCAACATATTAACATTATCACTACTATTTTATCATTAAACCTCTGTCTTATATTTCTTATATTGTAGCATACACTTACTTCTATCTCTATTGTCATATATTGTGTTATAATGTACATACATAGACTTTTATTTTTCTATTTTAATTTGATGTGTGTATACCAATTTATACATCTCTATTTTTTTTTATTTCTTGTTGTTATTGTTAGATATTGTAATATAATTATTATTTCTGTTCTTAATGTCATGAGGGCACCTTGAGCTGCTGTAACAAACAAATTCTACCCCCAGAGATCAATAAAGTATTTCTGATTCTGATTCTGAAATAAATACCAATGGACCTTTTTCACAGCAGCCATTTTAACATGAAGTAGTAAGGTAAACACAAATGATGCTATTAAACTGAACTGAACCTAAGTAACACCTGTGTTATCATTTCATGTCAAAATGGCTGCTGGGTTGTTTTTAACTGGATTTATATTTCAGTGTTATACTTTGAGGGTGAATGTTGTTTACATTACCCCAGAATCAATTTGTACTTCACCTCCACATTATTTTCTATATCAATTTCCCTTCAACTCATTAACTACAATCGTAGAATTATCATTACCTTCAAAATGTACCCATAAGATAAAATGCAGGAGTCACCTAAATCCTTTACCATTCCAGTCTGTGTTGTGCTTTGTTGCATGTACCAAAACAAATCTGCAATAAATCAAATGACTAATTGCTGTACAGTTAGTGAGCCACAGAGCTGTAATAGTTTTATAGTGTGTCTCAAAAATTAATATATATTTCATTAAAAGAGAAGTGAAGATGAAAAGGGCATGACTGTAACTCTACATGCAGGATATCTAATTAAAGAACAAACTTTACAGAACAGTTATCAGATATAAATCTGTGTGCTGGCGGTTTTCTCTTGGCAACGTCAACACAGCAACAAAAAAATGCACATATACAAGAGTGGCGTAATACAGTGAGGGCGATAAACGTGGTTGGAACTCTCTAACATCAGAAAGAAGTTGGATGTGAAAGTAACTGGCTACTAACAGGCCGGAGACAAGATCCTCTGACAGACACCCTTGAGAGAAATGAGTGTGATCACTTGGTAACGATTAGTTCACAATAAATATCTGTGAATTAACTTATTGATCACTCCTTTCACAAGTCTCCCGGTGGCAGACACAACTGCATAGTGAAATCGAGGCTTATAGGGAACCAGTCTAAACATGGGTGGTGTCATTATTCTATAGCCATTACAACATTCGACATTTACTTCATAATTATGAGTTAAGGCAAAAAAGTTGTCTATTTCCACTAGAGACAGCAGGTAATTTTTATATTCAGTGCACATATATTTTAATAATAAAAAATGAAAACATAAAACAAAATCTTCTTGAGACCCGTATACGTCCCATTAACAATCCACACAAAACAACACACAGAGCATCCCAGACTGAGACTATTCAAACCTTTTATTCAAGCAAAACTTAACATATTGTTGATAAATTACTGATATTTATATTTATATATATAGTATTTGTTCATCATTTATTCGAGATAAACACACTGCAAACACACAGGATTTGTTGTAAACAACAGTTGAAGCTATTCTCTTCTTCTTCTTTTTAAGTCAGGTGAGTCTCTCATAGTTCCCAGACTTGAATTGTCATGACTAAGGTTAAGCGAGTACTTGCCGCTCATGCACTGCTATAATATCATAAACCTATAATAAATGTTTAAATATTTTAAGAGCCTTTGTGTCATAAGATAATAAATTTTTCATTATGTGCACACAAACATGAGCATATTTTGCCTAAAGCAGACATGCATAAACAACATAGACCTGCATTCAGCTGGTTGTCTCCTGCAACAACAACTGCTCTGTGGGCCACGGCACCAGTTCAACACTGACATTGTAACAGAGAAAAGACATTTATTCTGAAACTGGATTCACAGTCAAAGTCACACACAGTGGCTTTAATTAATTGATACATTTGTAAACTGCATTTAAAATGAGTATTCTTATGAAGCCACTGAATCAGATTATAATATATTACAGTCTTGTTATGATTCTCAGCAATTAAAGCGGTGAAATGAGCTACGTTATCTGCAGCTTGGCCATCACCAACATTTCAGTTGTTGTCTTAGAGTTTGGTTGCTGAGTTACAAAGATATTGTCTTTTCACAGATCCAGATGTTTTGAGATTCACACGATTGATCGTTCCAGCTGTTTTCATCATCATAGTACTTTATTTCTCCGCAGTCTTCATCTCTGCCTTTATAACTGTTTGGCTCATTAGTGGCCCAGTAGCTGAAAACCCCAAAAACCCAAATATAAGCTCTTTATAGATAACACATCTCGAAGAGAATCAGTAGCAGCAAACAGGAAGTTAGTCAGTTAAATTAGTTTAACATCAAAATGTTCAGAGCATGATTAAAATAATGTATGAACCTTGTCGTCAGCGGAGTCCCATCCACCCATTTCCACTTCCCCTCTGTCTCTCTGTCAGTCAGTCCGATCCACACGAGCCTCTGGAAATGTCTCGTGAACTCCTTGTTTACAGAGAGAAACAAACTGTCATCAACGTAACAGAAACTCTAACTGAAAAACTCAACCTTGGTTACCTCACATGAATTTAATATTTCACTCACACACAGACTCATACACATGTATAAACACACAGACACACACGCGCACACCTGTTCTTCTTTGTTGTTGATAATCATCAGGTCTGCACCTCTCTGCAGACAGTCACTTCTGCTGTCTTGCCAGGATTTCTTTTGTGAAGAAATGTAGTAGAAACTGTCGTTGAAATACATCCATCCTTGGTGAGAATATTCAGCTGTTCAGAGAGACAACAACAAAAAAAATCTGAATAATGAATCAAACAAGAACACACAGTGTCACATAAAGTGCTGTTGGTAACATTTAACTTTAAGTCTCCCTTTATAACCAGTATACAAACATTAAATTAATGATTTATAACACACTGTAATATAATTGTGCACAGCTATTAAGACCTTTTTGGGTGATCTGTCATGTACAGTCTTTATCAACAATTGTAACATTTCTGATAAAGACACACTGTATTTTATATAATTACAACCGTGTTTTACTAAATTATCATGAACTGTTTTATACACCAGCCTCCACATATGAGTGCTTGCAGCAGTAGATATAATTAACCACAAATACACTAATAAACACTTATATCTACTCACAACTACATTATAGTGTTCTAAAACATTTATTTAAGATTTACATACTGTTTATAAATGCTACAAGGCTTCATGTAAAGTGTTACTGTGGATGTGGACATCTCCACAGTGTAACGTGAGAGGTTCAGTATTTAACATTGACATTAAACATTTCCAGATCAGGCAGTGAAATGTTATACTGTATGAAACATGATGATCTGTTTTTCAGTTTTTTTACAGTACAAATGGTAGCTTCCCTTCACCGACTCTTGATTTTATCACAGCTATAACCACAACACTTCCTTCTCTCTGTTGCTCAGTCTCTGACACACTTCTTATTCAGGAAAAGAAAATGTTGCATGTCTTAGTTACAGAGAAGTCAGACTCATCTTCAATGTGTGATGACAGTATACAGAATGATTCAAACAAATAGGAAATGAGCATATTAAATGTTTAATATAGCCAAATGACCAACATAGTGGACTCTAAGGTAACGAAAACACAACAATTCTTATTTTCAGGTGATTATGCACTAATAAAAACATAACTATGAATATTCTATTCCATTTCTGACAATACCTATACCTAAATGTTACAAACTTGACGAAGCGGAAGTTTATACAGTTAGAACCCAGGACATTTGGTTACGATACCATCACACCATCCATCTTAAAGAAAACTGAGACTCTATATACAAAAACACTTTAAATCTTTATATAATATATAAGAAAACTTAAACTATATTATACAAAAAACTTAAACTCTTCTAAACTTTGGAAATCTCTGCTGGTGGCATCTGGTAGTTGTGGTGGTATTGCAGGAGATACTTCATCATACTTCATCTGTTGCCTGGCCGAGAACTCTATTGAGTTCACTATTTATTTATTGTTTATTTCTGTAGTATTGAACACCGATACTGATCCATCCAACAATTAAACCCAGGAAAGAACAAATAATGGAAATGAAATATATAGTTAAATGTGTATTTCATTTCAACCTTATACTCACCAAAGATAGCCAGCTTCCGCTTCAGCTCGTCTCTCTCTTTAGTCACATTTTTCAAAATGGCCTCGATGTCTGATGTGTTGTCTGAGATAGCAGAAACATTTATTACTGTTGTTCAACACTGAGGGTATCTCAGGTTGTCACATTGAGGTGAGGTATTAGCCTACCACAGAGGAGGAGGCCCACCCAACCCAAAATCATTAACGCTTTGGACAATAGTCTACCAGCACACTAAACTTAATTTAGACATATGGCATGATAAGACCCATTTTAATGCTTTTCTAAATCTTTCTCATTACTGTTTTGGAATTATTTAGGAGATAGATAAGATATTTGTGTAAGTTAAAATAACTCTTTGTAATAATTTACATGTATTACACAGACAAATTAGTGTGTGATGTTAATTTTAGCTTGTATATATTGTCACATTTCTACCTTGTTTGTTACTCAGATTGTGGCATACAGTTTATAACTGTGGCCTGGTTTGTATCAATTAACAACCATTCAGTCAACGAAATAATGATCATTATTACTATACAGAGAAGTCTGACTGCTGGCATGACTTAAAACAAATGTGCAGGCCAAAAACTGTAACTTAGGGTTTAACTTTACTTTACTAGCATGAACAAAGAACTGTGGATGCTGTAAATAGATTATAATCTTTAATCAAACTCCCCTCTTCTAATCTTAGATGTCTTGTAGCTGGTAGTCATATTCTCAGCTGTGACCCACACCCTTATTTTATCTGCCATCATGCTTTGTTATTCTTTATTATTCTAAACTTCCCCAAACTTGATTCTTTTTCAGGTTGTTGACAAACCACAACTTCAGGGTGAGAAAGCAAACACATTACACAGCTATTCTACGATTAATCAAGTGATCTTTGTACTAATGTATTCAGACTGTAGCCAGTTCAACATCCTGGTCTGTTGTCCAGTGTGTAGAATTGGAGAAACTGCGGTGGCTGAGAAACATGCAAAAAACCCTACACCTAACCCTATCTACAGCCAGGGTTTGTCCGTTCTGGGCTACTGTAAAAACATGGGGGTTCAATGTGGTGACTGCACTGCCATGTAAGGCGACCCTCGACATCTGTAGATAAAAACATCTCATTGTAAGGTAACGAAAACGTGACGATTCTTCAAGTAAGGTGATACACTAATGAAAACTTACCTATGAATGTTATGATCCATTTCTGCCAATAGATCCTCCAAAATGTCACACACTGGACATTTAAAATGATAATCAGAGAGTAAATTTAAATGAAAACAGTAAAAATAGAAAAGCAATTGAACTCACAGAAAGTCAGACGCAGTGAAATGTTGAGAGCAGCTTGTAAGATATACAACAGTCCAAAGCTCACACCAAACAGTCTGAACAGATTTCTTCCTGTGTGCAGAAATCAAACAGACACCCTCAAAACAGCCAACCCAATGAGTAAAATTAATCAGACAAATGAATTCCATTATTATCTAACGATTTTGGTATGAATCTGGATACAAGTGGAAATATTTAAGGTGGTGATATAAAAGGAATGTAGAGTTTGGAGCCTGTCAGAAGTGGTTTCTTTCATGCTTTTTATATCAGACGCTGTTCTATGTCATAAAGATGTTAGCTTGATACACTGTACAGACCTTTACATGATACAGTTACATGTTTCTTTGAATAAAACCTGATACAGTTGATGTGCTTCTCCGAGCACCAACAGTGACAATCACACATTTTTAAACAAATGCTATCAAGACCACAAATCATTACAATCCTTACAAATCAGATGTTTTTTCAGTCACATACAAGCATATTTCAAAGAGAAAACTTCACTTCTAAATATCATAATTATTTTTTCTGCTCACGTTGCATTTACAGAATGATTTAGTTTATTTTAGCCATGCTACTGAGGTGGCTCTGTGACTGGCATGGGAACTGACATGCATAGCTAAGATGGTGAACATGGAACACTTTAGACCTTTTATTATGTTGGCACAACCATGTTTAGCTTGTTAGCATGCTATTGTTAGCATATAGCCAACAGAGCCAGCTTATTCATTTTTCAATATTGAGGTAAGGAACCTCAATGTAAGAATGGAGATATTAAGGCAACTCATGGTGCAAAAGCAACAATTCAAAGGTCACATTTGGGGAAATACTATTCAAACTACAGGTCCGGAAAGTTGCTTAGGAGATCGGCAGAGCACTAGACCACTGTGTATACTTATATACTGTGTATACTTATATACTGTGTATACTTACTTATATACTATATATTATAACCATGAAAAGCTTTCTCTTAGATTAACAGTTTTGTTCATTCGACAACAAATTTGACTAAATACTATTAAATAGAACAAGTAAAACTAGAAAGTAGCACAAGATTAACAGGTCCAAAAATATTATTATTAATATTAATATTAATAATAATAATGTTTGTTGAACTGTAGGATGTCTGTCTCACCAGGCATTGCAGCAGTCAGTTCATCGTCTTCACGAGAGCAGCTCCTCACCACGTTTTATCAACTGGAGTCTAAAAAATATATGTGAAGATTCCAGATCTGCTTCCTCTTTTTATACTTCTCTCTCTCTCTCCTTATAAAGGCACAGTTTTGTTCTTACTGACTTTCAGCAACTTGTTATTTTTCTTCAAAGTGAGATATTTATGTTTATTTAAATTTATTAATCAACCTTTGGTGTGACACAAAGCACTAACCACTCCATTATGCTTTAGGAATGTTTTCCTACTGTATATACTTTTAATAACATTAACAATATTTCCACTTGAAATGTACTCTATATGCCCCCTTTCAGAACTTTACATTATTAGTCCCTTTCTATTACTCACGCCACTGTGGGTGGATGTGACTGAGCATTAGTCTACATTTACTGAATAGTATGGGCAACCGGTTTTCATTCATTTCATGTTTAGCGTGATGAGAAGGTAAGTAAGTAAGTAAGTAAGTAAGTAAGTAAGTAAAACTTTATTAATATAGCACCCTTTTGACACAGAGATCCAAAGTGCTTTCCAAACAACAAATAAACACATGGGTATAACCATACCCAATCAAACAAGCAAGGGAGCATGTAAATACAAACAATGGAAGATAAAACAAGAGGGAAGGATAGATTAAACGAGACATGACAGATGAGAAAACAAACAAGGAGATCTATAAAAGGCTTGCCTGTAGAGGTTGGTTTTGAGCAGCCGCTTAAAAACAGTCCACAGATTCAGTGAATCAGAGTGAATGGGGAAGACAATTCCACAATGTTGGGGCTAAAACAGCAAAGGCACAGTCACCTTTAGTTCTGCAGTTAGAGCGGGGAATGGATAAAAGCCCAAGATTTGAGGAGTGAAGTAGCAGAGGAGTGGAATGAGGAACAAGAAGATCTGAAATGTAACCGGGGGAAAGGTCATAAACTGCCTTATATGTGATATGGAGACAGGGTCATGGACGGCCAAGGCTCATTGATGCACGTTTATTTTTTTAAATATAATTATCTTTATTTAAATTCATGCTTCCACCAACATGAAATTAATACATTCTAATACATACACAGAACAGAAGATGTAAAATATGTAAGGGATTATTATGGAGAGAATTTTGTTCCTTTATTATTCAATCAAATAGAATAGATTTGAAACCAAAAAAGAGATCTGAAAGCAAAGAAGAGTAAGTGGCAATCAAAAAACTTTTTTTTTGAGATCAACTTCAATCAAAACTAATGTTTGTAAGTAAAAACATACGACCATTTTGCTTATAAATCAGTCCTCTTTGCTTGCAAGTTCTACAGTTTTGCTTGCGAATTCAACTGCACTTGATGGGCGGGGCCTATGCTGGTGGATGAGAGAAAAGTTTCTATTGGTTGGTTTGACCTGGCTACGTCTTCCGCATTACACCCACTTCTCCCTGTGCTGTGCTGCTTGGAGGTAGCCTGTTGCTCTTGAAACGTTTCCAAAAAGTATTGAATTGAGCTATAAATCGTTGGCTACAGCCTGCCGTACATTCACAACAACAACAACAACAACAACAACAACAACAACAACCACAAAAGTAATGAATTATAATGCCCTGCTGTTGCAAGCACACTGATTAGCAGCAACATGGTTGTCTCTGCTAGTCACGGCCTGAGCAGAGTTGAAGAAATATGTTCTCTCATATTTTTTTTTCAATTGCAACCTGTTCTGTTTCGATCTCTAAAAATTTTTTTTGATTGCCACTTACTCTTTTTTGCTCTCAAATCTCTTTTTTGGTTTCAAATCTATTCTATTTGATTGAATAATAAAGGAACAAAATTCTCTCTAGTTCCCTTCCGCTCATCGTGTATTTGTGAGTTTTATTGTATGTCTGTCTATATATCTGTCTGTATGTCTGTATTCAGGGCAGTTATACAGGATTTAAAAAAACAGGCAAATCTGAAAATGCTGCATCTGGTTGCTAGATCTAAAATCTATGAATATCTGAGTTTTCTGTGCTGTCTGGTGGGTTTGGATGTAGGGTTATAGACGGACTTTCTTTTCACAGATCCAGAAGAGTGAAGAGGAACAGCCTTCATCATTCCAGCTGTTTTCAGCATCGTGAGACTTTATATCCCCACAGTTTTCACCTTTTTTACCATTAGGCTCCCCAGAAGCCCAGTAGCTGAAAATTAAAAAACAAATAAGCATTTCATTAGACAACAATCCTAAGAAGTAGACATTTTTGTTTGAATAAAGAAATATATGAACCTTATGGTCAGCGGAGTCCCATCCACCCATTTCCACCTCCCCTCTGTCTCTGAGTCAGTCAGTCCGATCCACATGTACTTCTTGAATTTGTTTGTGAAAATCTCATTCAAAAAAAGGGAGACACAAACTGTTATCAACATAACAGAAATGTACGTTTTAAATTTCAATTAAACTGATTTTTCCACATTATTCTCCACCTCAGTATACACTTATCCCACAACTCACCTGTTCTTCTCTGCTGTTAATAATCAGCAGGTCTGCACCTTTTTGAAGGCAGTCATCTCTACTCTGTTGCCAGCTTTTCTTCAAAGAAGAAACTTGATAGAAACTACCTCTGAAATACACCCAACCTGGTTGAGCACAGTGAGAAACGAAACAACCTTAATGTCTCATCTCAATAAGAAATGTTTCAGTAACAAAACAAAAAGCCAAGAGGGTATCAATGAGGAATCTGTATGTTAGCTGTATTATTTGAAGAATTGTGACAAGGGTTTAACTCAACTTTTGCATTTGATTTCATAATCATACTTACTAAAGTCATTCAGAATCCTCTTCAGGTCAGCTCTCTCCTCAGTCAGGGTTTTACAAACAGCCTCAGTCTCTGAATCAGAATTGTCATTGTTTGTGTTAATTTATCAATGATACATTGTTTGTTTCCTCTACTTAATCTAATATAGTATCAGTAGCTTTCTTGTAATTGCAACAGTAATCACAGGTTATCCTGATATGATTTGTGTTTGAATTTCATCCTTTGTATGAATGCAAATTCTCTTTTTATCTTATCCTTAATTAATTGAACTAGTGGAACTAAGAAAGATAATTTTTTTAAACCTTTGATTTAAATTGAGTAAAGTTTATGATATTGAGCTGCCAGTAATAGTATGCATGCCGGCATACTTGAATTATACATCAGTAATAGTCAAAATGTTATGCATGTTCCATGTTCATGAAGATACAGAAAAATAGTAATGCAATGCAAAAGTAACATATTGTCAGTATTTTAGAGAACCCTCCAAACCCTGGTTTTCAGGGGAGCTCATGTCTTATTAGGCCAAGGCCTCCCCCGGTTCCCTTGTGGTTCACACCCTGCTTTTGCCACCAATCCAAACCACAAAGTGGATAATCAATCCTTTTGTTTGACTTAGATCTGTCATACGTAACATTTGTAACTCTTATATTTGCCCAGGATTGTATTTACATCCCTTTGGATCTTAGGTCTGATTATTGATGTCTTCATCATCAAGCCAATTTTTTCCTGAGTTCAGGATACAAATTAATTTTGATATTAATTTCAGGTCATATTATTCAACCCTACTACACAGTGATGAAAATATGTTTACTGGAAAACTTCTAAAAGTCCCAAATAGACACCTTCATTAGAGGCCTGGACTAGATTGTATAGAAATGTATCTGGATGTATAAAACCTCTTAAACCCATCGGGTCGCCAGCTTGTGTGAGTTTTAAGTTTCTCAGATCACCTACAAAATTATAAATTTGTAAACGGTTTGTGTCTATTTCTTGATTATTTATCTGTAAAGGTCCCTCAATAAAAATAATTTAATTAATCAAAGTTGTAAATATTGTCATGTGAGAGTTTCACTCTCCACTGCCCCCAGTAATGGCAGGATGAGTCCAGTGATTTAAGCAAACAAACATCCCAGGGCTATTATTAATGTACAGACATATTTTTCACCAGTGTACTTTTTTAGTGTTGCTGAAGTGAGATGCTAAATTGACAGGGACACAAATAAAGATGAGTCACAGACAGGAGGGAAATGTTGAGAGCAGCATGTAGAATACATAAGTCCAACGCTCCCAACACTCGACTCTACTGTTTTAATCCTGTCTGAAGAACCCACAGACTGTTGGTGGATTCACACACACTTTAAACCATTTCCAACTATTCTAACTCATCATAGTCTGTCAGCTGCTCCTTTATATAAAGTTATGCCAATAATGCAATTCAGCTCCCAGCTAGTTACCTTGAAGCTTTCTCTGAAGATCAGTCCTATCTTTGGCCAGGGCTTCAAATCTTTCTTGCAGCTGGTCTTTCTCCTTCGCAAGCTGTTCTCTTTCTTTAGTCAGGTTGTTGTAGTTGGTCTGTAACTGGTCTTTTTCTTTAGTCAGGTTGTTGTAACTGGTCTGTAACTGGTCTCTTTCTTTAGTCAGGTTGTTGTAACTGGTCTGTAACTGGCCTCTTTCTTTAGTCAGGTTGTTGTAGCTGGTCTGTAACTGGTCTCTTTCTTTAGTCAGGTTGTTGTAACTGGTCTGTAACTGGTCTCTTCCTTTAGTCAGGTTGTTGTAACTGGTCTGTAACTGGTCTCTTTCTTTAGTCAGGTTGTTGTAACTGGTCTGTAACTGGTCTCTTTCTTTAGTCAGGTTGTTGTAGCTGGTCTGTAACTGGTCTCTTCCTTTAGTCAGGTTGTTGTAACTGGTCTGTAACTGGTCTCTTCCTTTAGTCAGGTTGTTGTAGCTGGTCTGTAACTGGTTTCTTTCTTTAGTCAGGTTGTTGTAGCTGGTCTGTAACTGGTCTCTTTCTTTGGTCAGATTGTTGTAGCTGGTCTGTAACTGGTCTTTTTCGTTTGTCAGGTTGTTGTAACTGGTCTGTAACTGGACCATCTCCATTTCCCGCTCACAGTTGCACTTGGTAACTGTGTTTTACACATAAAGAAACAAATAAAGAAACACTCTCAATAGCAATATACTACCAATATTATCTTCTTGGGCTTCATCAGCACACCAACAAGGTACTCACATCTGGAAACCAGAGTTTTGAGTCCAATCAGGAGGAGAAGACACAGCAGAGCCAGACCCACTGCAGCAGCTTTGTAGGAAGTCTTCTTTACATCTCTGTTACCTGAAGGACAATGCGGACCACTTTACTATCGTTCCTGCTCTAATCATAATGTTTTTTTTGTCAACATGCATTTCATTAAACTGAGTTACACTGCAGTTTAGCTACAGCTAAATTAAACAGCTAAACAGCTAACTGGTGGTCATAAACTTTCCATGAGGAAATTAATTCCTCTGTGGGATTGAGAGATGGAGTACGGTAGAAAGTGACACCATCCCGGGTTGGGCGGTAAAAGAGAACAGTGAAGGTTATCAAGGAATAAAATGAGGCGCTCAGTTTTATATGTCACAGTTAGGAGTTCAGGCATTTATATTTTCTTATTTCGTTTTAGATGTGTAGATGTACCAGAAGGTAGCAAATTGCAGTCTAATTTACAGTAACCTTGTGTTATGTTTGAATGTAAATACAGACAAATTTGTAGGTGGTTGAGTTTTAGTCCACATTGACCTTTGCTGTGCTGAATGATGGTGAGTGAGGGGTTTGGAAACATCTTAGCAAATGTAAAAAAATAGTGAAATTATGAGGAAGGTAAAGACACAAATATACTGGCAAATGGCACTGGATAGGTTGTGTGTTCCTTTTTGTTTCCCTGTTCTTCAGAGAAAAGAAGCCACTGCCCCATTAATTAAACCTCATACAATTTTAAATTATGTACATGTATGCTGTTAAAGGTTAGTGTACTTTACTGACTGGTGGTCTAAAGTAAATATCACAATAGTAAGAAAATAAAGTAAAACAAGAAGGTAGCACAAGATGCAAGAATGCTGTAATGGCTAATGCAAAAGCAAAGATTTTTTTTAATTTCACATCTGCAATGAGGATTTGATTGTACCTTTGCTTCCATCTAAACCCACCTGTGCAGACCACCAAAATACAGGAATGAATACCCATAAAATACAACCAAAATATAACTTGCATGATCATAAATCATACAATACAAGATGAGATTACAGTTTAGATTTTTGTCTGTGCTTTATAACATTGAACCTCAAAATTGTTAAATTGTAAGATTTCTCTCTCACCAGGTACCGCAGAAGTCGCTTTAATGTCTTCATCAGAATGGTTCAGCAATGTAGCATCCATGGCTGAACCAACATAGGGGTCTTCATTTACCATGGAGATCTCATCTTTCTCTTTGTGGAAAACAATTTCCATATTTAAGCCACTGGAGTGATAAAGGGAAGGTGTTTGTGAAAGTGTCGCCTTTAAATGGTTCTTGTCTGTGATCTGATTCTTCTTTTATATTTCTATCTGCTTACACAGCAGAATTCTCTTTCACTCACTCTCTTCTTCCTCATTTTTCAGTAAGTTGTCTTTCTTCTTCAACCTACTGTATTCTGGAAAATCCTCACCCTCCAGGGAGGTCAACTACTTTCATCACAACAAACAAACTTGCAATGCAAGATAATTCATTTCCTTAAACAATGGCCACTTAAGTTCATGCAAGCAGAGCTCGTTTTGACTGAACTGACTCAAACCTGAAACTTACTGACTAAAGAAACTTTAATATATTAAAGGAGGAACCAAAACTTGTTATGCTTAAAAAGAGTTATTGAAAAAAGTTTTGGAAGTTTTTACAGTATTTTCGAAATCAGGGGTCTCAAACTGCAGACCCAGGGCCATTTCTGGCCCCCCATTTCCCCCTAAAGTGATGACATGATTTAAAAAATATAATATAACCCTGCCCACAAAATAATAATTATTATTTATAAGTATTTTTTTGTTGATGTTTTATGTCAATTTAAACAACGTCTTCATATACAATAAAAAAAACAAAAAACACAATTCTACTTTAGAAGATGTATTTTGTTTGTGTAACGGACATTTATTTGGCTGATGATGATAAAATGACGATACATAAATGTATAGAAAGTGCTGTTTGCTTTTTTTGAGTTAAATATAATATAATGCAGGCAATAAAAATATTTTCAGAATATTGTACTTTTGTAGTACTTGAATGTTGAAGTGGCCCTCCTGTGAGATAACAATACCAACAGCGGCCTCAAGCCAGTTTGAGACGCCTGTTGTAAGTACCTGAATATGGTGTATGTACATGGATTATGTGTGAAACTAATTGAGTGCTTAGTACGTTAAAACCGTCTGCTGAGTCTGTTCCTGTTTCTTAGGAAATGTTCTTTTGGCTTCACTTCCAGGGTGGTTTGTGTTCAAGTGTCTCTCAGTTTCTCAGGACAGGATTTAACCACATTCAACACATCCTGCTTTTGGCTCAGCATCATTGCCTACCAATGTAATCCAGATTTTGTGCTATGTTGGCACTTCACAGAACAAGCAGCTGTTACCGCCAGCTAAAGACATTTCTGCTGCTATGAAATAATGTATTTATGTTCACTTTTAGTTTGTGTGACCATTTGCTTTGCACCAGGCAGAAAACTTACAAAAGGTTTAGTTTAGTTGAAGTGATACTACGTAATTACCTGTATTGAAAGCAGGTTGGTAAATGCCAGTAAATAGTCGTCTCTCTCCACTAGAATGAAACAGCCTAAATAAGCTACCGTGTTGTTCTTGTACTTCACAGAACACAGTTGTGCTGCTATAGGGAAAAAGTATGGGTGAGTTTTGACGGGCCCCCTTTTCTTTGTCTTTGTCACTCTCTTTTGTCATGGGCAATTTCTATTTTTGTTGTCTTAAAGGCTAGCAGCTAGCTAATAGCCCTAAAGTAAAATCTATTGGTGAGGGAGTCGTCTTTAATGGAGCCAATTAATGATGGCACAAGTAGGAACATTGCACTCTGGAAAATATATAAAGCTGGGTTGTTGTCAGACATATTTTTACTTGTTGAATTGTACTGTGTTGTCTGCTGAAAACTTATGTCTGCTGACATTAAATGTCTGAAATTTATAATTTTTCAACCTTTTTATTCAAGAAAAATGTGACACACACTCAGAAGAACTCATTAGTATTTGTTCATTTATTTTCTGGATTTCCAGTTTAAGAAATCTTTGTTTGAAGAAAACTTTACTCAGGGTCCAGATAAAAGAAAATAATCTTTATTTTAGCTTTGGAAGAATACAGATAGTTATATTGTACCACGGTTATGATTCATGCAGCATGGAGGGAAACACACATACAGGTAATATCATATCAGTAATTCTCTGACCATTACGCTCACAATTTATATCCTCCGCCCAACACAAAAGTCTGTCTGAGTGGATTTACACATCTGGGCTCTCTCTCGCACCAGGGCCCGTTAATCAATGTCAAAATTGTTGTCTCATTACGCAGCTCACAGTCCTGTAGAAAAACAGTGACTTAGTCAGGAAACAGGAAAGACAATATCAGAATTAGATTAAAAAAAAAACTTTTTAGATAATAACTTTTTCTTCTACAACCCACTCTACCTTTTGATGATGAGCATTGCAGGAAATAGTAGACAATCAAATAAACACAACCAGTTATCTGGAATTTTTCTCAGGTAACTTGAAGCAATGGTAATTATAACTGCCTTGGTGTCAGATACTAACACTGTTCTTAATCACCTTCATGTCAGTTGTTGTTCTCTTCTTTTAAGGTAAGTCAGACGAGTCTCTCACAGTCTTCAGACTTGAATTGTTATCACATACATGCACTGCTATAATATCATCCACCTATAATGAATGCTGTGCCCTGGTAGCTCACCGGGTTGAGTCCTTATCACTGCAGCCCGGGTTTGAGTCCGCCATGATTATTTTCTGAATGTCATCCCTTCCTCTCTCTCTCTCCCCCCCCTCTCTCTCGCTCTCTCTCTCGCATGCTAAATACATACAAATACAAATAATTCTAAAGTCACACACAGCGGCTTTAATTAATGGATACATTTCCATTGCATTTAAAATGAGTATGAAGCCACTGAATCAGAGTATAATATATTACAGTCTTGTTATGATTCTCAGCAATTAAAGCAGTGAAATGAGCTACGTTATCTGCAGCTTGGCCATAACCAACATTTCAGTTGTTGTCTTGGAGTTTGGTTGTTGAGTTACAGAGATATTGTCTTTTCACAGATCCAGATGTTTTGAGATTCACATGGTTTATCGTTCCAGCTGTTTTCATCATCATAGAATTTTATTTCTCCGCAGTCTTCATCAGTGCCTTTATGACTGTTTGGCTCATTGGGGCCCCAGTAGCTGAAAACCCCCAAAACCCAAATATAAGCTCTTTATAGATAACACATCTCAAGGTGAATCAGTAGCAGCAAACAGGAAGTTAGTTAGTTAAATTAGTTTATAATCAAAATGTTCAGAGCGTGATTAAAATAATCTATGAACCTTGTCGTCAGCTGAGTCCCATCCACCCATTTCCACTTCCCCTCTGTCTCTCTGTCAGTCAGTCCGATCCACACGAGCCTCTGGAAACGTCTCATGAACTCCTTGTTTACAGAGAGAAACAAACTGTCATCAACAGAAACTCTAACTGCAATCCTCTTGATGTGCATCAATCAGTAATATTCTGCATGAGTGGGTGTAGTAAGGAATAAGAAACGTAATTATGTAGTCTCACCCTTCTGTGGGCCAGTATTGATCGAAACATCTGCACCTCTTTTGTTTTGTGTGTAAAGAGTATACCAACCTATTCAGCCACCACTATACCACTGCAGCCATGTGTAAAGACAAACCCCCCCACACACAAACACATACACTAACACACCTGTTCTTCTTTGCTGTTGATAATTATCATGTCTGCACCTCTCTGCAGACAGTAACTTCTACTTTCTTGCCAGGATTTCTCTTGTGAAGAAATGTAGTAGAAACTGTTGTTGAAATACATCCATCCTTCGTGAGAATATTCAGCTGTTCAGAGAGACAACAACCAAAGCATCAAATGAATCAAACAATACACACAGTGTCACATAAAGTCTGTAACACTTTACAAGTACAGTGACAAGTAGACAAACATTAAAGCAACGATATGTGGCAGTAGCTTACACACCACCAACTATGTAGCTGATTTTGCTGAAACTGTTATAAAACTACAGTATGTTATGGAGAAAATGTTTTCTGGTTTTCCCTCTGATGTTGTCTATCTGCTCCGCCTCAACTCTCTGTGATTAACAGAGTTTCCTGATGGACAGAAAGCTTTACTAGTTGCTAAATGTGTAACTTAGCTGCTGGTCAGCTCAGTTGGCCTGAATGGGAGCTCATTGGGGAAGTGCTGGTGTTAACTGCCAAGAGGAGGTGGTGGGGGAAATGCTGATGGTCAGGCGGCAATGTAACCGTGCTCAATGGCCTCAGCGTTGACGGAAGAGACAGTGACTGAGCAAGAGGCTGGCGTACAAGAGTAAATCTCAGACTGGCTTTTAGTCGTTGGTGAGAGCTTTGCAAAGTAAAAGGCTGCAGACAGTCTCTGAACTGGTCTTCTTGCTGTTGGACCAGTAAGTACTATTAGCTGACTTGCTGTGTTTTGTGTTGTTGCACTTGCTTGATGTTTGGCTGTATTAGAAAATACAGTGGTATGTAAGTTAATAAAATCTGAGACTGGGGATGCCAAATTCTTACATAATGTTGTTTTAACAAATGTTTTATAAAAACACTATAATATGTACAGTATTTATCAACATCTACTATAAAGACATATTTTATATAATTACAACTGTGTTTTACTATATTATCATAATCTGTTTATACACAAGTCTCCACATATGAGTGCCTGCAGCAGTAGTTATAATTGTTGACAAATACCTTAATAAACACATATATCTACTCACAACTACATCATAGTGTTCTAAAACATTTATTAAGTATTTATATACTGTTTATAGATACTAGGGGACTTGAAGTAAAGTGTTGCTGTGCATGTTGACATCCCTGCGGTGTTAACAGCGTTGCTGTACAGGAAGAGGTTGCTGCTATGTTACACAACTATAATTAGAGTTGATACATTTCTTAAATGTTGCAGTTTGCATGGTAGTTTCCCTTCGCCAACTCCTGATTTTATCACAGCAAGAACCACCACACTTCCTTCTCTCTCTTGCTCAGTCTCTGACACACTTCTTATTCAGGAAAAGAAAATGTTGCATGGCAACAGACTCATCTTTAATGTGAGATGACAGAGATAGGAAATTGGCACAATTAATGTTTAATACCATTATCAGAGGAGCATCACCATGGTCGACATCTTATTGTTACTTCCAGGCACCCAGAGTCTGCTCACATAAGTACGTCAAGTGTGAAGGACAGTGAGGTCCTCTCAGATTTGATTTATATTATTAATTTATTACTGTGGTATTGAAAACTGTGTTGGCTGCACACCATATTATAACTGATAGAGAAAACACTGACTCTTATAATGACATTGATAACTGTATTTAATGTGGACCTGTCACATCTGACTTAATAAGGTCAGTATCCATCCAAAAAGGAAACCCAAGCAACAACAAATAATTGAATAAAAACTTTAAGGGGTGCTTCGTTTCATCCTACTCACCAAAGATACTCAGCTTCCTCTTCAACTCGTCTCTCTCTTTAGTGACAGTTTTGAAAATGGCCTCAGAATCTGATGTCTTATCTTCTGAACCATCTGAGAGAGCAGAGAGGGATTTACTCAACACTGAGGGTGTCTCAGGTCACCATACTGAGTGGAGATGTTAGTGTACCACAGCGGAGGAGGGCCACACACCCAAAAATAATGTATCCTTTGGAATTATTTAACAAAAACTGAGTTGAGGGAAGATGATCTAATTTTTAGTACTTGTTTTAGATATTTATGTAGATTAAAAATCTATTAAAACAAAGTTAAATCAAATCACATGAATTAATGTGGAGGCATTTACACCAATCAGCCATAACATTATGACCACCGGGGTATCCTGGTGGCCTTCGCTCCCCATGTGCATCAGTGTCTCCGGTTCACCTCTTTTCCTTCCTTGGACCACTTTTGATAGGTACTGACCACTACAGACCGGGGACACTCCACAAGAGCTGCAGTTTTGAAGATGCTCTGACCCAGTCGTCTAACCATCACAATTTGGCCCTTGTCAAAGTCGCTCAAATCCTCACGCTGCCCATTTTTCCTGCTAACACATCAACTTGAGGGCAAAATGTTCACTTGCTGCCTAATATATCCCACCCACTGACCATGAGAACCAGATAATCAGTGTTATTCACATTCTGTCAGTGTTCATAATAATATGGCTGATCGGTGTATATTAGCAGCAAAAACATCTTTACAAATTTAAGTTGAGGTTATATCTGTAACTATATACACTAGACTAAAATCAAATGTACAGGCCATAAACTGTGACTTAGATTTAATTTTACTTCAAAGGCAAAATATGAAGCATGAACAACTGACTGTAAAAGTCCCCCGTATCTCTCTTATATTAGATCAGGGGTTTTCAAAGTCTGAGGCTGTGGGCGTCCCCTCAGACAAAGCTTGGAAAAAGGCACCCTCTCACCCACCCTTAGTTTACTTAGTTGCGCTCAATTCCTGGGTGCCTATAGGATCATGATTATGTTATATGATGCCACAGACACTAAACAATTGAGCGAAGATAGCCTCATATTGCTGTCGGACATAACTTCCAGCTACAGCTAAAAAGGTCTATCCTAGTGCATTTACAGTATAAGTTACTGGCTTTGGGAAAGTGGTAAAAACTGTAGCATTACCCAAAACTACTGTATCTCTGTTCTGCCTTCTTCACCAAAGAACATTTAGGTTATTCCGCCTCCCAGTTTGAAATATTATTTGAAGGTCTAGTGTAACATTTGGGGGGCTCTATTGGCAGAAATGGAATATAATATTCATATCTGATTGAGCTTGTCTTAGATTGAGGTGTTTATAACTACAGGCACTGCAGGGCCGTGTTTAACCACCATGTTTCTTCGGTGGCCCGGTTGTTATTTGTTATTTGAAGCTAATCTGCCATCATGCTTTTTCCTTGCTCAACATGGCGCCTGTTACAACGGCAGCCTGTCATGGCAGCTCCTATCATTGTTGTAGTTTTTTTGTTGTGTGTTTTCAGTGTGTTTTTAGCCTGTGTTTTTTGCTATTTTTGACTCTTTTCTTACTTTCTGTCTTTCTTACTACTTTGTTCACGTCGCCAAAATACTTTTTGGGGCGTTTTTGAGCACTTTTTATTTTTTGTTTGCACTGTCTCCATGGTGATGGGGAGTCGCATTGTTTACACCCGCAACCAGATGATCGCCCTGAGGTACCCTAGCATCCTGACTGGAGAGAGACCCTCCATACCGGAGGAGCTGAGGAGGAGACGGCGAGGCTGCAGAGCGGGGGTTAAACGGAGGATGAAGAAGAGGAGGATTAAACTCTACATCCCTGCAGTCATCACTGGAAACAAACATGGCTACACAAGCAGATACCGGACTCCAACGTCACCATTCCCGGCTTCCAGATGGTTCGAGCTGACAGGGACACCACCGCGACCGGCATGAAGAAAGGAGGGGGACTTGCCATGCTCATAAACAACAGGTGGTGTAACCCCGGCCACGTCTGTGTGAAAGAGCGTGTCTGCAGCCCGGACATCGAGCTCGTCGCCGTCGGACTTCGTCCATATTATCTGCCATGGGAACTTTCCAGTTGTATCGCCATCACTGTCTATATTCATCACAGTGGTCTTCATCATCGTCTTCTTCATCATGGCTGATCGAACTTTCGGTGTCAGCCTAGGTGACTCTGTATCCTCCTCTGCTTCTCTCTCGTGTGGGGTCCCACAGGGCTCAGTTCTTGGTCCTCTCCTTTTCCCTCTCTATTTGCTCCCCCCCTCCTATAGATCTGGGTTCCTTGGCCCAGTATATTAAACCTAGCATCACAAACCTAGGGGTTAAAGTGGACCCTGAGCTTAAGTTTGACAGTCAGATCAAGGCTGTTGTCACATCAAGCTTTTTCCATTTGAGGCAGCTGGCCAAAATAAAGCCAATTCTATCAAGGCAGCACTTTGAGACGGTAATCCACGCCTTTGTTACCACTCGGCTGGATTACTGTAATGCACTATATGTGGGGGTTAGTGGGTCCTCCATCGCCCGTCTCCAGATGGTACAGAATGCTGCTGCACGTCTTTTAACTGGCACACGTAAACATGAGGACATTTCCCCCATTTTAGCCTCACTCCACTGGCTGCCTATTCAATTTAGGATCCATTTTAAAATCCTTTATTTGCTTTTAATCCCTGAATGGTCTTGCCCCGCCCTACCTCTCTGAGCTTCTACACCCCTATATACCCGTCCGCTCTCTCAGGTCAGATGATCAGCTGCTCCTGAGTGTGCCTAAAACTAAGCGGAAGCTCAGAGGGGACCGTGCCTTTGCTGTGTCTGCTCCTAAATTATGGAATGATCTGCCTCTGTAGGTTAAACAGGCCTCTTCTTTGTCTGTTTTTAAAACCCGTCTCAAAACCCATCTCTTCTCTGTGGCCTTTGACACCTAGTAAGATGTCGACTTTATTTACTTGATTTAATTTCTTATTTTGATTGCTTTTTATTGCGTGGCTATTATTTTTACTTATGTTTTATGTCTTTTCATTTTATTGTTGTATTTTATATGTAATTTTTGCGCCTCATGTGAGCTGTTATGTCTTTTATTCATGATGTCTTATTTATTCTCCTGTACAGCACTTTGGTCAACTTTGGTTGTTTTAAAGTGCTTAACAAATAAATGTTCCTGTTTTTTATATCTGTATTTATTTCACTCAGATGCTGCTGTGACAAGTGAATTTCCCCATTGTGGGATTAATAAAGTTATCAATCTATCTATTCTTTCTAAATCTGAACTTTCCCAAACTTGGTTCTTTCTTGGCTGCTGACAAACCACAACTTCTCCCACAATACCAAACAAGAGTATTGTAAAGTATGAGTGAGGGCTAGAAGACAAACACAATTACCTGAGCAATGAGTCATAGCTGCTTAATCATTAATCCAGTAAACTTCATACAATAAAAATATACTTTTATATAGAAATCATTGAGAGCGGGTGCCTGGTTAGCTTAGTGGGTAGAGCTGGCGACCCATGTATCGAGGCTGAGTCTGTGCTGCAGCGGCCCAAAAATCATGGAGAGCAAGCGATTGTCGTCACTGTATTTAGACAAGTTCCACATTCTGGTCTAATCAGATGGTACATTTCAATGTTTGGGAAAACAAAGGATAAAAATAGAGAAATTGAACTCACAGAAAGTCAGACGCAGTGAAACGTTGAGAGCAGCCTGTAAAATACACAAGAGTCCAAAGCTCACAGCAACCAGTCTGAACAGATTTCTCCCTGTGTGCAGAAATCCGACAGTGAGACACATACAAAATCACCATTATCATTATTTTTAGGCAGCTAGGTTTAATGATTGTTTTGTGAAACAAAACCCTATTTCCATGTCACTTCTTGTACACTGATTTATTGCCAAATTGGAGTTCTTTAAAAATAAACACTGGACAAAGGGGTTAGGGTTAGACCATATTTTGTTGCATTAACTTGTTTTAATTCATTTTGGTCTAATTATGAGATATTTCTTTTTTTTTTTTTACAAAAAAGGTAGCTTGTTCATTCAGAAAAACAGTTACTTATTTTTATGCATTTTTTCCTATGAAAATTATTATTTACACATCTGTCTGACTAAAACTAATCAGACAAAAGTTTTCCATTATTATACAATATTATTACATGACAACTTTTAAGGTGGTGATTAAAACACACACATTGGCAGAAGTTGTTTCTTATATGTTTTTTTTATATCAGATGCTTTTCTGTCTCATAAAGATGTTAGCTTGATACAATATACGGGCCTTTACATGATGTGGTTACAGGTTACTATGAATAATACCTGATTTAGCTGATAAAAATCTCTACAGGAGTCCAATTTGGCTCCAACGTGCTTCATGAAGCACCAGCAGTGACAAAAACACTATTAATTAATTAATTAATTAATAACATTCTTTAGGAGCATACATCTAAAAAGCTTAACAATAAAATATGTATTGGGAAATCTTTACAAATCAATATCTCAAAGAGCAAAATTGTTTTTTAATTTGAATCTTTTCTAAAGAACATAATTAAACTTGAAGCTTCAACTGAGCAGAAGTAAATAACGATCAACAAAAACATCCTTGAGACGTTTCAACTCATTGTATTGATGTATATTCTTACCTGAACCTTTTTTTTGATTGTTGTTGAAAGTTCCAACGTCGTCATAAAAGTCACTGTCCTCTGACATGTTGGAGTACAAGCTTGAAGTGGACATTTGAAACAACATAAATTTTAAGCCTTAAATGATTTATTAAGCCTTAAATGATTGCCTCACTGCATTCGCTCTGATAGTGTGTCTTCTTCCTGACTCCTGTACACACACTGTATGTGGTGTTATCAACACGTGGTTTTCTGTTTCATCTTCAAGATATCGGTGATACCTCTGTGGTTTACAGTCTTTAATTTGATCATTTATAGGTTGAGATGTCTTGTATGAAAAAATAAAACCTTCACTTCTGTTGAAGAATTTAGGTTTTAATCTGTTAAAATCTGGGAACATCTCAAAACACGATTCAATACAATTCACAATACGTTTTTTTTTTTTTTTTTAAACAAAATGAGATTGAAGACAAATGATGATGATGTGAAATGTGTTGGGGTCTGTACCAAACAAACATGTTGTCTTAAATCTGGAGAACAAGATTTGCAGGTCAGGGAATCTCGTCAGAACTACAGTACTTAATTAAAACTCTGTTTTGTCATATTTTACCTTTATCTAATGAATTATGCTGCCCTACTCTCAGCATGAGTGACCTGTTGGAGTTCAGTTTGTCAGTAGAATTACCTGGTTTGATCCATTTCAGTCAGTTCTCCCCTAAACATCTCACATTTCATTGGTTAATTTAGACAACAGTTTTGTGCTATCTGATTGTATTTACCTGCAAAGGTTTACAAAAATATTTTTAATTTAGTCTTTTCACCTTTGCACCTGTAATTTTATATAAAAATACTGGTTCTAATTAAATAAAAAAATAATGATAAAACAATAGAAAACTCAAGAAGCACTTTATATAATATGCAAGCAAAATACAAGGGCAAAACAACAATAATATAATACTTGATTTACTTTATAATTTACATGGAGCTTTTCAAGCAAGAAATGCAAAATGCAAAAACAAGACCAACATGTACAACATAAAAGAGGTAAACACAACAACATTTAAACCCAATTATACAGAAGTACATCATTATGATCAGATATTTACAAAAAGGGACTATCACATTTCACACTGAAAGAGACAAAAAATAAATCTGTTATTGATGTAAAGATGCTATGGTTAAGGCTTAGGCCCAGAAATAAATGATCGTGTGTCCATGCTAAAAAAAAAACAGAACACATTTCTGTCGGTTTGAAATTGGAAACTCCCTGTGCACACTTTGTTGCTATACAAGAACGTAACATGAAACACAGTTAAAAAACCCGTCCTGCTGTTAAGTGAGAGGACTGTAATCTATGATAACTGGTTTCCTTTTTGTCCAGGAGCAAATTGTGAACACAACACTGACATAACAACCATTAAGTTGGTACGATGAACTTGTCAGCAAACAGTTTTATTTACACATTCAGCAGTTACGTAGGAACATCATATTTCATTTGGAGTCATGTTTCTGGTCACTTGGCGACTGTAAGGCCAATATTCATGTTGACTTTTAGCTCTGATTTGATCTTTCAGGACTCCTGAAGGAAATTCTCCACTATGTTTGTCTGATGTTTGGTAATAAGCAAGTAGTGTATAATGTGCTTTTAGAGATTTTATGCTGAAAACAGCTAAACAAAAGTGTGAACCTATGGTGACGTCGACCATTGGTTTGTGAAGAAATGTTTTAAAGCCTGGAGTTTGGCATTATGGTCGTCGCCATGTCAGAACAAGATTTAACCTGCTGGGACTAACTCTCACATTCTTATGGGACAAGTAATTAGCAATTACATTTGTTTAGAAATGAATTAAAGAATGGGTAACACATTACTTACATTTACATTAATTACATGAATTCATTCTTTCCTACAACCAAAGCTGAAAGTTTAGTTGGATTTTTGTGTCTTTGTGCCACTTTGTCTAAACATGTCTTACTGCAGTTGTGGTATATTAAGTAGCGATGATGTGAAGATGTATTGAAGAGAAGTCCGCTGACACCGTCTTGATTGTATATAAAAAAGGTTTATTACAAAAAAGATACAGCATCATTTCAAGCCCCGGGAGCTTGGAGAGCATCCTGCCAAATGAACAGCTCTGTCTAATTCACCTTGAACACGGGTTTATATAGGTCAGTTTTACTCCAAAAGATCAAAAGAAACAACTGGTTCCAATCCAAATGTTTAAGATGATAAGGGGAGGTGGGGGTTATCAAGTAAAGGTCAAATGCCCTTCAACCACAAACAGTAGAGGATTAAGCCATAAACAGTTGAGGCCAGAGGCCATTGTAAAGCCATAAATATTCCATAGTAAGAATTAGTCATTTAACCATATACTACTAACACTACATATGTTGACATATATCATTTGAACTTATAACAGAATGTAATTTAAATTTATAAGCCTTCAGATACCACACAGTCTTTACAGTTTAGCTGAACGTGGTTAATACATCATCTCTCCCATGGTAGTGGAGCCATTTTCTTTTCACAGATCCAATTTATTTCATTTTCACATACTAAATCATTCCAGCCGCCATTGTTTGTTATTTCTACACAGTCTTCATTTCTGCCATAATAATTGTTCGGTTCCCCGGAGCGCCAAAAGCTGAAATTAAAAACAAATATGTTTTAACAACAAACGCAAACCAACAAGGATTTAAAGGTGGAGTAAGCAATTCTAGATAATGCAATTCTAATCCAATACACGTCTTTTCAAATTCAGCTTCACCTCATATGGTCCACTAGCTTACCGCTCTGTGTGCACTGAAAAACATCTGATGTTTGTACACAATCCTGGTTCTGTCAATGGGAAACAAACTAACTGGACTGGACTGAGCCATGCTAAAGTAATTTGTTATTCCAGCCAGGATTTGTGTGTCATGTAATGTTACATTACTTCCCATGGACATTCAGCTTATTTTCTAGTTTGCCAGTGTATTCAGTTGTTGGATGTTAGCTATAGTAGCAGGACAGCTGTGAGTATCGCTGTCTGCAGCTGGTGAAACCGCATCGTCTTCTCTGCATTTTAGCGGCACAGCACCAACTTCAGCAAGCGTTTGCTTACCCACAACATAGCTAACTTTAGTTACATTACTTGCTGTGTTGTTGTTGCATAATATCATTGTATGTGTCATGGTATTGGATTTCTCTTACCCCACCTTTAATGAATAGCAACACACAGAATGTGGCCAAGTCAAAGTATAAACAAAAATTAAAAAAATTATGTTTTGTTGACTGTGATAGTAACTTCATAGAAATCCAAGGTCTACAGTACCACTGTGCTTGAAAAGAAAGCTAAAGACTGATGTAATTTGAACAAAATGTAATGTGTGTACCTTGTTGTCAGCGGTGTACCATCCACCCATTTCCATACCCCCTCTGTCACTCTGTCAGTCAGTCCGATCCACGCTGACTTTTTATATTGTCTTATGAATTCCTTGTTTTTAAATAGAAAAATACAGTAATCAAGTAATATTTAACCAATGTCAGTGACCTTTTATTTATTTATTTATTATTTCCCCCTTTATTTCAATAAGTCTGTCTCTAACACTGATTCATAAAGTATTCGTAAAACACACACAGACAGACACACACACCTGTTCTTCTTGGCTGTTGATGATCACCAGTTCAGCACCTTTTTGCAGACAGTCATCTCTACTGGCTTCCCAGGTTCTCTTGATTGAAGAAATATAATAGAAACTACCATAGAAATACCTCCATCCTTCTTGGGAATAGTGAACTGTTGAAAAGAGAAATAATTGAATTATCTGAAAAATTTGAGAACTACTGCTTTGATCACCGATCACAGTTGCAAAAAAAAATTTATGGTTTAGGAAATGTTGATTAAGCATTGATTCTCATTAGGCCCTGTATAAAAAAAAAAAATATGACTATGCTACCAGTCAGCTGCAGCCAATCAGCCGCTGCACACACAACTAAATTATTAAAGTCTCCTTTTATGAGCAATATTGTGGCCAATTTGTATTTGCAACAGTGGATCTGAATTGATGCTTTTGGTACAACAACAGCATCACTACTCGTAACTAGGGATGCTCGATATTGGCTTTTCTGCCGATATCCGATATTCCGATATTGTCCAACTCTCAATTTCCGATACTGATATCACCCGATACCGATATATGCAGGCTTTTTACACCAAAACTGTTGTTAGGTAACAACATAACATATCTCCTATTGTGGAATTAACACATTATGCCTAATTTTATTGTGATTCCCCACTGGATGCATACATAAATCCAACATGGCTTTCCAAATGTAAACACTGTCTGTGCAAAATAAGAGAACAACTTCAACTTTCATTATATTAATACTGAAAAGAGCGCTAACGCTTATTGCTAGCTAAGCGCTAATCGCTAGCTAATCACCAGCTTTGGTTAATGTGTTTGTGTTAATATTAAAATCATTCAGCTTTAAATTGTTTGCTTGTTAGCCACGGTTAGCAACCAACCAGTCTAGCGTGTAGTAGTTGTTGTTGTTATACGTCATCTGGCGCGCGCCTGTAAACGTCCCATGCTGCGTTCATGCAGGCTCGGAAATACAGAACAAACATCGGTTATAAAAACCCGATACCGATAATTCCCGATATTACCTTTTTTAGTGAATACCGGCCGATAATATCGGAGGGCCGATATTATCGGACATCCCTACTCATAACAGATTATATTGTGAATGCCACTCCACATTGTAATGTGCATTTTTGTGCCACAATTTTAGCTTTTCTCTAAATCTATTCAAAATGAGCTTTAAATGTTAAATACAATTGAATGAGTTACTAAAATTATGAAATATTCTTTTGAACATTTCAAAGTATTATATTTTATAGTTCATATTTTAATATAATTATACTATACTAAATGTTAAATGGCTACATTTATATAGCGCTTTTATCCAAAGCACTATACAATTCACTGTCTCTCCTTTGAGGTACAGTGTTTTGCCTAAGGGTACTTCGACAGGATCAGTGGACAACCCACTCTACACTTTAGCAGATCGTGATGAAACTGAGTCAAGGAGGGAGTGAACGGATAAGGTGTGCTTAAATAAGTTTTGAGCAGAAATAAGACGAGTGCAACCAGGTTTGTTCCCAAACCTAGTTATAAAACTTAATTTAATGGGAGTGTGCCTATGTTCCCACAGTTCCCACATTTCTAAGATTTTTTTTCCAAAATTAGGCCCAATGTTCCCACATTTCCTTTTTTCATAAATTTGTATCAGATTTTATCCCTTCTTCTAACCCTAACCTTAACCCTTCTTAGAAATGTGGGAACATAGGGCTGACCCCCATTTTATATAGCACAAATTCTCCTGCAAAGTGTTGAATGTTACTGAATTGAAGAGACTACAAGGATGAGAATGTGAACACAGAATAACAAGGAGGCATTACTTTGTTACAACTAATAAAAACAATATAATTCAATTTGAACATCCTTCAGCTTAAAATCAGTAAATCTGTAGTGGCAGCCAGTACTACTTTAACGTTTTAAAATCACCAGATGCCACTGATGCTGAAGTATATTCATTTACTTTCTTTCAAACTGTTATTTTGCAGACTAACAAGATTTTACTGGAAGTTTCCATGTGATATGATACATTTATATTTGCTGTGTTGGGCTTACAACTCATTTGGATCTGATCAATGATTTTTGTTTCAGCATACTTACCAGAATTATTCAGCTGCTTCTTCAGCTTGTCTCTCTCTGCAGTCAGGGAATTCAGCTGTAAAGCTGTAATTTTGAGTAGAGATGTTAAAATAATTTGCAACAGAATCAGAGCATGCCAGACAGATATAATTTACATATTATATTACAGTAATTCATTAACACAGATATAGTTTGTTTAATATTTGTCAGTGCAAACCCCCCTCCAGCAACAAACCAGAGATCTGTGGCTTTTTATGAACTGGAATATGAGAAAGTTTACAGGTTTAAAATTGTAACATGGAGTTAATTTTACTTCAATCACATAAAATCAAAACTGGAATGTCATATTTTCTTTTACAGTATAATATTAGTGTCACCACTAGTGATTCAGCAATCACACAATTTGTTTGCTTCTGTATCTTGTTAGCGCAGCACAAATTCTCCTGCAAAGTGTTGAATGTTACTGAATTGAAGAGACTACAAGGATGTGAATGTGAACACAGAATAACAAGGAGGCATTACTTTGTTACAACTAATAAAAACAATATCATTCAATTTGAACATCCTTCATCTTAAAATCAGTAAATCTGTAGTGGCAGCCAGTACTACTTTAACGTTTTAAAATCACCAGATGCCACTGATGCTGAAGTATATTCATTTACTTTCTTTCAAACTGTTATTTTGCAGACTAACAAGATTTTACTGGAAGTTTCCATGTGATATGATACATTTATATTTGCTGTGTTGGGCTTACACCTCATTTGGATCTGATTAATGATTTTTGTTTCATCATACTTACCAGAATTATTCAGCTGCTTCTTCAGCTCGTCTCTCTCTGCAGTCAGGTGTTTATAACTCGCCTCAATACCTAGTTGAGGATAGTTATCACAATGATTATGTTCACAACTAAAGAGACAGTTAACTTTGAAACAGGATTCCCTCATGTAATTGATCTGTTCTCTCACAGAGCTGAAACTAGAAATGTGAACTAATAATGTCATCTAGTAAACTGTGACTTAATGTAGACAGGACTTTTATGAAGGTTTTTAAGGCTGAAAAAATTTACTTGGCATCACTTTAACCAATAACTCAAATTTGAAGCACAAATTCATACCTGGAGATGTACTACCTAATGAACCAATATTTACTCTTTCAGTCAGTCTTGTGGCTGAATAGGAGAACATCTCCAAAGTTTTGTGGAAAGCCTTCCTGTGGTTTGTACTAAAATAACCAGATGTAATGTTTAGGAGTCCACACACCAAATGTAACTCAATGTTCTGTTTCAGGGTATAAGTGCATTTACACATATTTGGCACCGATCACCCAAACTGGTCTTTCTGGCCATTCAAATAATGAAACATAATATCAGCCCTTCTGGCACTAACAAGATCTAACTGGGATTTTTTGTCTAACACTGACTATATATTTGCACATTGTTAGACTTATATCCCATTTAATCCTGATTATTGGAGTAGTTTTATCATGATACTAACCCAAGTTGATCTTCTTCATATTGTCTCTCTCCTCAGTCAAATTTTTACAGCTGGCATCAGTACCTGGTGGAGAGGCTGACAGCATTTGTAAAAGAATCAGATTATGTGGAAAGCTACAGAGAAAATTCACTTTAACACAGAATTTCCGTTTAAATTTTTCATGATAAGTTGGATATCTATATTAATGATATTACATTAATCCTTCTCTCATACAGCTACAAACCAAAGAGCCACTGTGTCACAGAATGTGCCCTGTGTCAGTGTTGTTAAAATAATAACATATATTTTGTATATTATGTTTTTTATTTCAAGATAACTCACACAGAGCAAGACGCAAGGAAATGTTTAGAGCAGCTTGTAGGATACACAAGAGAGAAAAGCTCACAGCAATCACAGCAACGAATCCAAGGAGTTTTCCTCCTTTGTAAAGAAAACAGACAGACACACACACACAGACAAACACACACTACATTAATTTCAAGTCTACAGAAATTATTAACAGTTCACTGACACATTGACACTCTCTTGAACACTGCATGTAGGAAAGTCTATTGTCTTCTGTTTACTTTACTTTAAATTGGATCACATATGCTACTTAAAAGACCAGCGTGAGAGAGAGTATGAAACAACCGAGGTCACAGACCACATGACAAAGTCAGCACAGTTTCAAAATCAGCCCATATATTCAAACTCACCAAGGACATTATCGAAGAAGTGGAATCAGGTTGTTTAAAAAAATAGTTATCCAACTCCTCTTCTGTCCGAGAACATTTAAAAACAAATAATTTCCAAACATAACAAACTAATTACACTTTAACAATTACAAAGCTAACAAATACATTGTCTGAATCTGAATCTTAATCTTTTAAATGACCATATATTGCAGTTTAATGGAAGATAAATGATCTGTGTTACTTTTATAGTAACAATGTAAGAATTTCTGTCTTACCAGTCACTGCAGTAGCCACTTCACCACCTTCACCTGAGTAACTCTTCAAAGCAACTCTCCTGGCTGAAGCATCAGGGATGTTTCCAAATTCAATAGTGATCTCTGATTCCTCTTTATAGACAAACATATTTTATTTGCAGAGCGTGATCAAAGTTTTAAAGGTGGTTTCTTCTCAGACTGGTGCCAATCTATGAACTGCTTCTTCTTTTGTTGCTTACACAGCAAGCTTCTCTTGTTCTTCCTCATTTTAAAGTGAGTGATTTTCCTTCCTTGACTCAAACGATTTGTCATAAAGGCCTTTACACACTTTACACATTTTTTCAAACATCATCTCACAGGAAGTGTGCTGGGTTATGCTGCTAAAAAAAATGCATACTTTATTGACTGCTGGAGGCTAATGTGTAAAAGAGGAAGAGGAAGGCGAACCAGGCTCAAAAAGTGAGGTTCAATCTGCTCTGAATCTTCAAATACAGGAGACTGTGCTAGTAGAGATGGAGAATGTATCTGTATATCTAGTGCACACATGCAGATACATACAGATCTGCCCCAGAACCATTGGGCAAAAAAAACAAACCCACCACAAGCTTGACTCCACAAACGCCACAAAACATCAGACCCACATGCAAGTCAGTTTAATTTCAAAATAACTTATTCACAGTTTAAGTCATATCTGTATGCACTATCCAATGAAAACCTTTTATAGTGGACTCTATACTGGAGACAGTGCTGTTCTGTGAATGCCAATCATTACCGTATGTGCTGAGACTGTAATGTAATCTATTACCTTCAGCCGGATTAAAGAGAGTGTACTACTTGATTTTAAGATCTGGTTTAGATTCTGTGTACTACACGTAGGCCTGTCACCTTGAAATGTGTCTTTATTAAGACATACATATTTGATTAAAATAATCTTGGCTGCAAGTACAGAACTGTAAGTACAGTTGATATTAAAAGCATTTCCTTCAGAAGTGAGAATATGTGGTCACTATTGACACAGTTGAGGTACCAAAATACACTTATGTTTCCTATGCTATGTAAAGTTTGATCATATCTAAGAGTAAAACTGGAATTTCTGAACGTGATTAACAAAAAACACACAATTGTCTGAAAGCAATTCCAAAACTATGAAACTATTTTATTTAATAAAAGAAGTATGTTTGTCATATTCACAACAATGTCTCTTAAATTGAAGAACTCTTAAATCTTAAATCTGAGTGCAGTTCTAATCCCCTTTAATTATAATTCATTTGCCTTGAATGTTTCCTTCCCTGCTTCTGCTTGTTACTGTATATGGTCGGGGTTTGAAATTAAGCTATAGATACCAACTCGACACAGCGTTAAAGGAAGTGAGGTCACAGAGAAGTTGACTCTTTAGACAGTAGAAACATGGTGTAAAACACACACACATTTTGCAGGCAGATTTTGATGCACAAATAGAGTGATTTAAATTGCCATTATAGTACTGTAATATAGTGAACGTTTCGCAGACATTTTCGTTTTTGCACTTGTTAAGAAATAACTAAACAGTTTAGGAGCATATTTTCACATTTTATCGATAAAATTGCCACATTATCATGAAGTCATAAAAAACAAAATAGGCAACAGAAAGGTTAGCTACACAGACCCTGAGTGGGCCTGAGCAGGTATTCATTATTTTTTCATTGTAATGACTGTGTGGATGCAGCGCCAAAGCAGAAAGAAAAGATGTACAGACATCTGGTGAGTTTGGATGCTGAGTTACAGAGACACTTTCTTTTCACAGATCCAGAAGTTTGGAAGATCACATGGTTTATCATTCCAGCTGTTTTCCTTTTCATGGTATCTTACTTCTACACAGTCTTCTTTAAGGTCATAGTTGTTAGGCTCACCATCCATCCAGTAGCTGAAACCCCAAACCAAACACAATGTTATTTGTAAAGCTTCACATTCAGGATTTAGTTTTTCCAAAAAGGTAGTCAGATATTATGACAATAATTGTAAAGCTTCTTTCTTTTAGCACAAGAGATTGTAAAATGTGTGAACCTTGTGGTCAGTGGAGTCCCATCAACCCATTTCCACGTCCCCTCTGTCTCACTGTCAGTCAGTCCAATCCACATGTTATCCTTCAATTGTCTTGTGAAATCCTTTTAACAGAGAGAAACAATTAAACAAATGAGTGAATCCAGCTTCTACCTCAGTCAACTTTCATTCATTAATCTTTTGTTGAATGAATACAAGAATGTTTCTGTCTTACACATAGATTAATAGATGCATTACAACACACACCTGCTCTTCTTCGCTGTTGATAATCATCAGGTCAGCACCTTTTTTCAGACAGTCATCTCTACTGGCTTTCCATGTTTTCTTGATTGAAGAAATGTAATAGACACTACCATTGAAATACACCCATTCTTGTTGGGAATAGTTACCTTCGACTGAAAATACAAATCCTTAATATCTCCATAACAAGAAGTAATAAATAAATTTCAACGTAGGAAACAAAAGTGCATTCTAGTAGGAGAAATGAGGATAATAAAGAAATCTAAGAACAGACAGAGTAGAGATCAGATATATAGCCTAAAGTCAAAATCAAGTTTAACCAAACTTCGATTGGCTGCAGTTTTCTGGTGTTAACTCTTAAAATGTATAAATATTTACACGCTCTAAAGAAACAATCATTACATGATCAGTTAATAATGAATACTTTACCATTGATTACTTATTATTTACTAGTTAAATCCTAAATCACTCTGTAATAAAGGCACAGGCTAACATGCTCCAAATTACTACAATTACCATGTTCAACATTGTAATTTAGCATGTTAGCATGTTAACATGTAATAAGTAGCACTTGTTTGGAGAACAACAACAGTTGCAGGCTATCGAGCTGCGTTCATGCATCAGGTTGTGTTGACTTTAATAATTCTCCTCCTGCAAAGAGTAGATTTTCTGCACCATTACTGTAAACGGGGGAGATGCATTAATTAAATCAGCCAAACATCCGCCATTTATGACACTTACCAACGTCAATCAGCAGCATCTTCAGCTCATCTCGCTCCTTAGAAAGGGTTATAAATCTGGCCTCAGTGTCTAGTTCCTTCCTGTCTGAGAAGGCAGAAAGACTTAACACAGGAATTGTGCAAAAAACCTGATATTTTGAAAGGAAAAGGTTACCAGTTACAATAGTATCAAAGCATGTCCACAAGTTAAAGGATAACGAACTTTAAAACAATATTTTGTTGTAATTTAGGCTTCAATCCTCTGTGTGCACTGGTTAGCACAACAAGAAGGTTCTGCTCAGGCTTCTTGCCACAGTCCAGAGACTTGCAGGTTAACCCTTTATAGGGCACTCATTGAAATACTTGGAAATTTTAAATTTCAACCCTGGAGTGTTATTGGTGGATATAAGAATACATTTTTTCTGTTTTGATTTTTTGAAAAAGACAGTTTTAGTCTGAAAATCAAAGTCAATGATGTCTACGTGGGCTGGCACAACAACAATCTGTGGCACAGCAGGCCTCCTCTTCCCATAGAAGGACTGAGCAGACAGCTGCTGCAAAAGAAATATGCCACATCAATATACTATGAAAATATGTAATAAATAAGCCATAAGCAAATCAAGATCAAGCCCACTTTGAATTATTTGTGAAAGAAAGCTGTAACACTGAAGTGTATATTAATATATCACCCATAAAAAAACAAACAAACACCAAAATATGCCATAGAAGTGTAATTAAAACAGTCATAATGAAGTGACCATATATGGTTCCTCGCCCGATAAAGGGTTTTAATTGATTACCTGTACAGGTGTGAATGTGAGCATGAATATTTGTCTCTATGTGACTGTGTGCCGGTGATGAACTGGTGACCTTTCCACAGTACACTCCACCTTTTGCCCAATGTCAGCTGGGATCTGCTCCAGCCCCATGTGGGTTAAGTGGGTATAGAAAATGGATGGATGGATGTTTTAATTTATTGATAACAGGTGAGGTAGTTTGTTTAATATTGTTATGCATATGCAAATCCCTCATACAGAGTGAAGTGTCAGCTTTCATTTGATATGTAGCGTTTGTCTAGTATTGCGCTTATTCGACTTTGGATACAAGTGTTATTGGTGTAGTTTCATCCTCATACTAACCAAAGTCAGTCAGATTCTTCTTCAACTCGTCCCTTTCTTCAGTCAGGTTTTTGCATCCGGCCTCAATACCTGTTGTCTTACTTTCAGAATTATCTGAAAAAGCAAACAGTCATCAGCATAGTGTTACTATTATTATGATGTTACTGTTATACATGATTTGCAAATATTATTCATAACTATGTGCTGATTTATAAATAAACTATGAGCTTAATACTTATTGATGGAAAAAACACTAACAACCAAAATTATTTTTTTCTCCATTTGCTTGTGTTTTGCCTATTTGCATGTGTTTACTTAATTTGCAGTGTGTTGAGCTGTCAGGGCCATTATTTATAACAATAATCAGATGGTGATTTTAAATAGAAATCAGAGGAAAAACAATTAAAAACAACTCACAGAGAGCAAGACGCAGGGAAATATTGAGAGCAGCTTGTAGGACACACAGGAGTCCAAAGCTCACAACAACCAGTCCGTAGAGTTTTTTTTCTGTGTACAGAAATCAAACACACACGTGAAGAATTGTTATTATTCTGGATGAACTTCATATGTAGTTTAATTATAGAACTTTATGAATCTGATAATGACAAAAATTAAACTCTTGCTGTGCACCCAAACAGAACAAGATACACAACCCTAAAGTTACTTACCCCTGGATGAAGCATCAGGTTGGTTCTCATCGTCCAAAGTCATCTCAGGCTCCTCTTTAAAGACAAACTCAAAATATTTTTACCACCGAAGTTTGACTAAAGTGTGTAAGTGTGAGAACTGCACTGATGGCTTGTGTAAACTGCTTCTCCTTTTCTGTTTCTGATATTAATCTGCTTACCACAGCAACTCACTTCTTTTTCTTGCCTTTCAGTAATCAGATCATTATCACTCATTTCTATTTTAGTTGAGCACGTAGGAAGAGATAATTTTAATTAAATAAAAAATTTAATGAAATTTAATTTCTTACAGTCAGAACATGAGGAACACTTGATGAAAATAAAACATGTTTTCAAAGCCACTGTTAAAGCCGTAGTGGTATTTTTAGGTACTGATGACGCAACTCTGTATCAGCAAGTACCCGTATAGAAGTACTTGTACTTGGTTTAAAAAAAATAGATGCATTATGCATCTTTAATTATCACCCACCCTTTTTCATTTTGACTTCGCTCTCAGTTTTCTTCTTTGGATGCAAATTAAAGGACAATGTGTAGAATTTAGTGGCGTCTAGCGGTGAGTTTGCAGATTGCCACCAACTGAATACTGCTTGCCTTACATGTGTAGGAGAAACCATGTGAAAGGCCCTATCTAGAGCAAGTGTTTGGTTTGTCCATTCTGGGCTACTGTAGAAACATGGAGGTTCAACCTGGTGGATCCACGTCTTTTGTAGCTAAATGGCTCATCAAGGTAATGTAAACATTGTTCAAGTCATTACTCACTAATGAAAACATACCTATGAATAATATATTTCATTTCTGCCAATAGATCTTCCTGAAGTTTACACATTAGACCTTTAAGTGAAAAAAGCAATATGATGTTTTCAACCATGTCAGGAAAGCCAAGCTGGACATATACTCTCAAGAGTTGGAGCGAGTCTGAAATGATTGACACATTGTGTCAGTATAAACAAACAAAACTACAGAAATATCAAACTAAAATAAGAATTTGAGAAGGAATAAAACCCAATGAAAAGTAATCTCAAAAGTAAAACTTCCAAACAAATGAATGGTGTAATTGTTTTTTCCTCTTTGATAATGTGTCCTTTTGTATACAGTTCCCTCTGCTTTTTTCTCACTGATCATACTTTTGCCCTCACTGTTGGCTTTGTGCCATTTGTTCAATGCACAAATAGAACTTCCTTAAATTTTCTTTGCAGTCTTGTTTTTGTTAAGGAAATTAGAAAAAGGCCAATTGTTGGCTGATATACCGTAAACTCAAAGAGAACATTGCATTATATCAGGAAAGTTTTACAACCATTCTAATAAAAATAGTTGATGGTTTGAGACCACCAACATTTTGAAAAGTAAAAATCCTCAACTTTTTGACAGTGACCTCTTTCTTCATGTGTATGAAGAATATTCTGTGTTTATGCATAGTCTCTGATGGAGGAATTAGTTTTTCTTGATTGCTTTGATGCAGCAGTCAACTCAAACTCCACATTTTAAAAACAGTTAACACACAGGCTGAAACAGTGGCACTCATGGTCAAAATGACACATTTTGTTTGCAAAAGGCTCTAACCGTGCCAAATTTTTTTAAATATGCAACAAAAGCAAATTTGGCCTTCAAACAACACAACTTGCAAACAAGTGTATGCGCTCTTCCAATCAACCATTACACAGTGGACAACAAAATACAAAATACAGCACTCAGTGCGAATCAGTGCACCATTGCTTGTCATTGTAGCCCATTACTGTATGTAGCTTTCATGCTAGTGCCATTTGTTGTCAAATTTGCCTTCTTGCAAAGAATTGGATCCAGAATCAGAAATGCTTTGATGCAAATTTTATTGATTCCATTGATTCTTTTTTTCAAACTGTGGCTGAAAACTATGAAAAATATTACACAAAATACATGTAAAATCAAAATAAAATCTATTAGAGTATAAGAAAATAAAAATAAAATCTATTACAGTAAAGTATAAAAATCTATTACTGTAGAGTATAAGAAATAGCCACTATTGATACTCAGTCTCTTCTGTCTCGACGATGGGGCCACATATACATCACATTTAATATCCTCTCTTGCAATGCACTGAGGGAAAAATGTTCTTGCATGCCTTATCCAACCTTGACATTCCTCTGCACCTATTTCTTGGGCAGCAGCAGTCATTGCATTCAGCAAGGGCATCTGCTCATAAACCTTCCACCTCCAAGCACTGAAGAGCTCCTCTATGGGATTCAAAAATGGGGAATATGGTGGAAGGAACTGCGTCATCATTCGAGGGTGTACTGCAAACCACTCATTGACAAGGCAAGAGTTGTGGAACGCCACATTGTCCCAGATAATGACAAAGAGTGGCATGCCAGGCCTCAACAGTCCTCTCTCCTCAGGTGGGACACACACAGGGAAGGAGGAGGAGCAAAGGGAGCAGGAGAGGAGCAGGGCCATAACAAAGGCATTACAGTATACCAGCGTAATGTTTCCTTACCTCCACATATTGGCATCTGGCCTACTTCCTGAGAAACCTGAGCCCTTCCAACTATACCTCCACCTCGCACTCGGACCCCTCTACCTCTACCTCTACCTCTACCTCTTACTCTCACTCTCACTCTCACTCTCACTCTCATCTGCCTTAGACCTCTTCCATCCATGTTGGCAAAGAACAACACAGACGCTGCACCTTTTAAGGCCTGCAGACTGATTGCTAATTGAAGATTTGTGTGAAGGAGTGTCAAACTGGTGCTTCAGTGATTTCATACTAATGTAGGTAGTTTCTAATAGCTAGGAACAGATGGTTTCTGTTTGGTTACCATAGCTAAAACAATGGAGTTTGGACTGCTTCAATGACATCTGTGTTAGCTGTTCTGCAAAAGGGTGGGGAAAATGTGTCAATCCAATGAGAAAGGGTTAACACATTTGCGAGACGTGCTTTGTTTTCTGCTGAGACAGTGATGATGAAAACCGAGTGGATCCCAGTTTCTTTAAGCAGGTCAAAGCAATCATGAAAAACTGTAAATGCACCTGGTATAATAAAGCTTGTTATTATTTCTCACAGAACTCATTCACATGACTTGGATAATTGTTGTTGCTCTGACCTCTACTGGTTAAATGTTTCCACACTATTGTAATACACTGCTGACAGCCCTTAATCTCATGTAGTCTGACTAATCCATTTTATCACATTGAAGCAGCTTTGATGAAAGTCTAATATTTACTTTAAGTTCTTTATTTGTCATATGCACAATAATTACAGGTGAAGCAGTCGTTGGCAAATAAATTCTTTGTTCTTAAAAAATTTGAATCCAAGATATATAAAACAGCACAAAAATTCAAATACATGAATAAATACAACATAATATATAAAATAGAATAGAAGAAAATTAATTATATAGACATGTGTATAGTAAATAAACCCTGGATGCATACTGAATAAGACTCAATGTCCATTGTTATTGTTAGAAACAAAACAAACCACCAACAACATAAAAATGGCTTTAACCCTTGTGTAATCCTCCCATCAACCATGCAACTTTAGCCCTCCCGGGTCAAAAATGACCCGGTGATAAGGAGCAAGGTTTTTAGGACATGTAGAAAAAAATAATTAACTTTTTTTCCTCCACCTTTTTAGGCAAGTAAAGACCAACACATTGATATATATATTTCATCTTTTTTTCCAGAAATATAGGTCAGTTTTAGTCAAATATACAAAATAAGCCTCACTTACAAGTGGAAAAAAGTAATAAATCCTGAATAGTTTTTTCAATAGTTATAGTGAAAATTATTTATTGATGGGTAAGCACAGAGTGGTGTATGTAAAGTTTTGGTGAAACATCTGTTTTGAAAGCATTGTACATTTTTGGATGGCAGCAAAAAATAATGATAAAATCACACCTGTAGTCCTGAAAATGAACCCTTTAGAGCCAATATAAACAAAACTTCTCAACTATTTTTAGTTTCAACTTCTCAGTCAATTCACAACACATTGAACAACAACACATTTATTCAGTATTTTTAATCACAAGCTGTTATACGTCAAATATTGTGTGTATCTGTATGTGTGACTATGTGTGCATGCATGTGTGCTTGTTGCTCTGTGTGTGTGCATCCTTGTGAGAAGATATGTACCTGTGAGCGTGTGTGTGTGTGTGTGTGTGTGTGTGTGTGTGTGTGTGTAGGTCAGTGGTTCTCAATTATTTTCTGTCATGCCCCCCCAGGGGACAGAATTTTTTTCATGCCCCCCCTGAATTGAAATATACGGAGCCCCCCTGGTGACATTGGATAAAAAAGAAAATGTGTGGCCACGCGTTAATAACGCGTGGCCACGAGACAATTCACCTTCAGTAGCGGGATGGTTATCCATATGGTACGGAGCTGTCAGTGGTGCTGTTTATTATTCATGAATAAAGGTAATTATAGTCTGCTTTTGTATTCAAGAGTAGCTTTGTTATTATTGTCATGGCGAGTGTAATGTCAATAATAATGCTATGACGGGCTGGAGGAGCTTACGTCTAAGTGAAGCAAGATATGTCACTGTTGGTAATGCTAAATGCTACGGAGCCCCTAAAGGGACATGAAAAAAAAAAAAAAAAAATCAAACGTTTCTAGTGCGCACTAGATAGTATCTAGTGCTCACTAGATTTCTAGTGCGCACTAGATAGTATCTAGTGCTCACTAGATCCTATGGATGGAGTGTTGTGGCGAATCAGCACATGGCTCATTTAAATATTAAAATTAGCCATGTGTTAATAGGTCACAACACGAAAATGTAACCAATGAAATTACTTATTTTGACACACATTTTAAGCCAATACTTACTACTATCTAGTGCGCACTAGATACTATCCATATTGTGGTGAATCAACACATGGCTAATTTTAATATTCAAATGAGTATTAAACTAATTTGTCTGTAAGTAAAAAATAAATGTAAATTAATCTGTAACCTTTTTTATTACAGTCCGCATTTAAATGCCTGTCCTCCTTTTGAGAAAATAACAAAAACAGTCCACCTTTTGACACATTACCTTGTTAGTTTAATACGTATTGGCTTAAAATGTGTGTCAAAATAAGTAATTTCATTGGTTACATTTTCGTGTTGTGACCTATTAACACATGGCTAATTTTAATATTTAAATGAGCCAACACTCGATCCATATCTAGTGC